ATGATGCCACGAAGGCTTACAGCACTGTGGACGAATACTTTTGGGGGAAGCCTCCTTCCACCGGAGACTTCTTTGTCATCGTCTTTAATAAATCTACCAAAATTAGTAAAATTAAGATTGCTACTGGTTCTGATGACCGTCAGAATGACATTCTTCACCACGGTGCTCTGGAAGTGGGAGAGAAACTAGTTGGGACTAAAAAAGGGAAACTCTGTTCCTCTTATATCACATTAGGAGAGTTTAAAAATGGCAACATTGAGGTTCAAGATGTAGACCACAAAATTGCCTTCAACATTGAGTGTGTGCGCATTGTGGTGACAGCCAGTCAAAAAGAATGGCTCATTATTAGAAGTATAAGTTTATGGACTACACAACCCCCCAGTCAATGAGGACTATACATAAAGACTCTTAGTATGTCATAGAGGCAAATGTTTTTATTATCATTATTTACTAATGTGTGTATTTCCAGGTTTATTTATTCATTTTGTATGTATTTATTGATACTCATTTTGATTGCCAAATCAGTCTATAGTTTTTTATACCTGCAAGTTGTGACCTTAGTAGAGCATCCTCCCAGTCATTCTTAAGGACTGTTCAACTGACCTCAGAGTATTCATGTTTTCTGAAATGTTCCATAAACTTTTATTTATTTCAGCCTTTGATTGCTATCCTTAACATAGGGTTGGGTGATAATTCAGTATTATGTTTTAACAGGATAAGGCTTATAACATTATATACTTTTTTTATTATATAATATTACTTAAACAAGTCCTATTAAAAGACCAAGATCAACAATTAATTGATCCTACTAATAACTGTTTCCATGTTTGCCAAAGTCTGACATATCTTGTTCCTCAGTGCCATAAAGCTCCACTGTTGTCCAAAACCTATTAAAATCAGTGAGCCATACCATTCCACTGGGTGGCAGGTTATTTCATTACTACAAACTGTAGTTCATTTTCGAGTCAATCCCTCATACATCTCAAAGCTACGCTGGCCTACTGCTTTAGGAAATGAACAAGGCTAGAAAATCGAACTAGATATTTGTGACCTGTTTTTAAAGATTTACATTTTCAGTAGGAATGAATGGGTTTGGACCTGACAGCTACAAACAGGTAGTGGGGAAGTCAGAAAGTACTAAGAGATGGACTAACACATTTTTGGTT